CATGAACAGGGTAATGGCGGTATCATCCGTCATGCTTCCCACTGTTAAAGTTTCATCCCTCTACCTTTTCAGGAATTGGTTGAGGGTCTCCTTGGCGTTTTGCTTCACGCTGGTCAAATAGCTGAAATGCCGTTTGGGATTGGCACTGGAAGCAAATTGAGCCAAGAATAACGCTGATAACTCGGCAAAGTTATTGATTGACCCGGGCTGTAGTGTCCCGAACCATTCCTGGGCAGGCCCCCTGAGCGTGCTAAAAACAAACGGCAAATGGCGGCCTCGGGTGCTCCTAGCAGCATAAGTCCCCCTTGGTAACTCCTCAGATGTACGTGGGGATCTCCCACCCCATCGTAAATTTGGCCGGTCGGGGGCTTGGCACCCCCTTGGATATCCGCGTACATGAGCTCCCTAGTAAACGGGGAAGTAATTCCCAGCTGAACTGGCGCAGGTTGTACAGGTACCCTGTTCATCTGGTCCCACATTTCATTCATTTGCCTCCTTATCTCGGCCATCTCTTCCTCCTGGGCCGCCAAAGGGGGCGGTGGTGGAAACCTCATATCCGTACAGTCCCGGTCCCAATGCCGCTGAGGGGCCCTCGCATTTTCCCGCTCCGCATACTGGAAATGATGACCAACGGGAGTTGGTCCTCTAGCTTGCGACCCGACCGGGGTTCGGTCACTGGGACTGGGATGCGCTGCTGGTGGGGCGCTACGTCGGTTATCCCGATGGGTATGTGAGCGGGATGACGCTGTGGTCGCTTCCGCGCGTGGAGTTTCTCCTGTAAAGCTGGAACCTCCTTCCTCTTCGTTCGCCATGTGCTGCATGAATTGGGCCATGTCACGCATGGCCTGGGGATTTCTCCTCAGAGATTCGGGAATCACAAAATCCCCATTAAAACGAGGATACGATCCTCGACTGGATTGTCCTTGGGGGTTTTGACTCCCCGGGGTGTGACTCCTCCCGTGACGGTGTGAACCATCGTTTGTATGATAGGAATTGATTCTGACCATTTTTTAGAAATAGAGGTTTTAGAAAGTGAAACTTTTTGCAAGTTTCCCACAGACGGCGCCAATGTAGAGGGTAAGTCCCGTAGATCCGAAAGCCCAACACGAACTTTGGATATATCAGGAATGACCCAGAATCAAAGCGTAAAAGAAAATATAAGATCTGAACTAACTAAAACTCGAAAGCTCACTTGTATTAATTAACCAATCTGATTACAAGGAATTTCCCGATCAGTAAGTCGGAAACTATGCTTTAATACAAGAAGTAAGGGCAAATGATGTTATTCTAGAGCTTGAGTATTTAAATGCTAACCCTTACAATGACTTGAAACATTCTATTTATACTAATGGAGAGCATGGGCTGCCTCTTGTTGATTGGCCGTTGTTCCACCGACTTGGTCATCCATGCTTCCACTTGCTGATGTCATAGTCTGGCATTAACTGCACCTGGCCACTTGCTGGTTGGCCGTTGCTCGAACGGGATGTTGGGCTGTACTGAAGATGCTGTCAAATTGGCCCAAGTATGATATATAGCCCGAACCTCGTTCGGTATGTCTTCTTACTGGGCCAACCTTTATTTGGGCCGAACCTCGTTCGGTATGCCTCCTTACTGGATCTTTTCATCATGGAGTGATGGGCCTGTTACTTGGGCCGGATATCTTGGGCCTTCCCGATCTGGGTATTGGGCCTCTAGGTCAATATCCCAACACTTGCGAAGTTGCAATGAGTTTACAAAAATTGTATGCATACTTGTTCTCATTTTCTGTATATTTTAATATAAGACGTTTATTATTTAAAAAAACTTAAATACTCGATATGAGAATATGAGAGTTTAATGGCGAATTGTCAAAGTAACATGCAAATGTCAAAAGCGTTATCAATCTCAAAGACTTCCACCCTTTTTTATGAGCAAAAGAAAAAAAGTAAGCAAATGTAGTTGTGTCTGAATGTGTCACTGCGTACCTCATTATGCAGTTATTATAAAAGTAAGTAAATTTTGGTGAAATTGCTCAAATAAGAATAACTATAATTTATTCCTAAAACAAGACGTATCTTATCATGTTAAAATTATAAAACCTTTCCACTTAGGAATCAATGAATCCGTTTTTAAAGTATAAACAATGGTGGTCATATTTGTACATTTTGTCTATTTTTTAAATGTAATTATTAAAATTTCTTTAGATTTTAAGCCCATGAACATGAAACAACTAAAAAAAATCATAATCTTACTTCTTACTTTATCAAATCTCAATAAATTGGGGTACACATTTTCACTACATGTAGGTTGTGTGGTCATGGTGAGGAATCGTTGGAGGATGTATTGTGGGATTGTACAGATTTGAAGTAGGGTAACAAGGATTGCCATGCTACTCAGATGGGAGTCCAACATTGGTAATCTCAATACATTTAGTTAAAATAAGTAGGATGAAAAAGAAGATTCCTTTTCAAACGATTAATAGATGTATAATGTGCATATATCCTTTCGGTTAATTATCCGGTCGGTGTTGGGGGCCTTCAAGGATAGAATGTCATCATTTTTTCATTCTTCTGCTCTTCTTGTCCCTTCTCCCCATTCATTTCTCCACATTCTTCACATGCACGTATATCCCCGTTTCCACACGCTGCAACCTAGAAGTGATAGCGTTCAACTATTTACTCACATATGCATCTACTTTCATTGGAAAAGCTTTTTTGAGACTTTGGTGACTGTTTACTTCCACCCAAACATGTATGTGACATAAGCAATGCCTACAAATATGGATACATTCTCACCAACAATGGTAATCTTTATTAATACAAAATCAACAAACATTAATCTATATCAATTCCATCTTCCCGTTTGAGCATCGTGTGGCTTGAGTTTGTGATATTTTGGTAGTTTTTCCTTCACCCGGACTCGAGTATTTGGGTTATAATGTAAAATACAACATTTGTATTATTACCTTTCTACTCATATGGTATTGGCACTTACAATTGTTGGGTATGTATTTCAGCTCAGCTCTCCAACCTAACAAATAGGCTCAAACACCACTGAGGACTGCTCAGCCACTCCACCACTCACCTTGTTCAAGCCCTCTCCCTTCACACAGAATCCTCACAAAGAAGTAGTCTGGCTATTCACTAAGGTTTCTCTCGCGCACTCACTGTATTTGGTGCCTCATAATGAAGAGCAAGGACTTGTTGCAAGCTCTTTTTTCACTCGTACGATCCATACAGCAAAGAAAGGGGCTACCCCCTGACTTATACAAGTCACGAGGGTTGAAGACTAAAATAATACAGAGAGGCTCCATATAAGAGGATAGCAACAGATAGAAGAGTAGGGTTAAGGGGATAAACAATCTGGGTTAATAGAGGAGTAGGGTTAAACATAAGGTGCAAGTCTTAACAAAATAAGTGAATGAGAGCTCTCGGTCAAGACAAATACCTCCAACGTTTTTCACCTTATCTGTCTGAGTACATATACAAGGTTGTGAGCAGACTCATCATCGCTGAACCATTAGAATAGTTGAGAACCACAAAGTTCTCTCATACCAAGTTCACCAAGCATACCCAGTCTACAAATGACCGAACTCTACCAATCGGTCATCGAGTTCAAAACGGAAACTATCACAAAACTATTAACAAACACAAGGTATGTTAATAGACCACGAAAGCAATCAATCGAGAGAAGTTGGGTATTCCAATTAATCAACACCCACACAAAGCAAGCCAAAGAAAATCAAAGAAATAATATTATCTCTATAATTAACACAAATGGCTCTCATAATCTATTGGTGTCACATTTTCAAGACACAAAGAAAATTGTATACCATATATCACAAATATTTTAAATTAAAAGAAATTTAAACACAATTAAAGCAAACTTAGGGATAATACAGTCAAACACATTACGCTTATTATCGCTCTCATGCTTCCTAATGTCTCATCTCTAATAATATGGCAATCACGCAACTCAAGCACATTGCACATAACATTCATATCATGCTCCACCTTAATACATTTTTTTGAACATGAAAATCATTTTCAATCACAAAATTGAGTTCAGTTGTAAGTACATCAGAATGAATAATAACATGCAAATACTCTACCTCATTATGAGCAACATCTCTTTGAGGCAAAAAGACATGGAGAAACAAACAAATTCATTTTCAACACAAATGACATTTCTACTTATCAACACATTAAAGCAAGTTTCACTCATACACCAAAGTTCGATGTGTTTTACTCCCTCTGTCTTATTCAAAGTTTCTCGTCCACTATTCTCCGGTCAACGTGCATTGTTCTTAATCTTTTGCTTTATATATCCAACTTTTATCAAATTTAAATTTTCTTGATAAAGCTTTATAGCAGTTTTAATGTAGTTTCTGAATATGTAAATTTTATTTACAAAAAATAATTCTATTAGTGACAGAGATCAATTAACTTTATGGTCACTCAAATGTCGTAAACCGTGTGGAAACGTTTAAATGGGACGGAGGAAGATTACTTTTCTACTCATCGTGTCGACATTGCCAACAACCCAAACCTCACCACCGGTGATTTTTTGGTGGTAGGCGGTAATGATGAGTTGAGCACAAATAGGTGTAAAAGTATTTATGAATTTTAAAATATGAATGTCATTTTTTATTTTTAAAATAAGAGTAACTATACTATTATTTTTATTTTTAAAATAAGAGTAACTATACTATTACTAGCTCCCTCCATTAAAACTTTGTTAACTTCCATTTTATGGATGTCCCACTAACTTTGACACTTTCTCTTTTAAGTAAATAATTTGTGATTCCAATTAATTCTCACTTCTCTACACAAACCTCAACCATACAGTTTTTACTTTATTAATTCACGTGTCGGTCAAACTTGACAAAGTTTTAAGGAACTTAGGGGTATTATGTTTTGGCATTATCAGACATACACATTTGATAACATTTTTCAAATGTAAAAATAATTATTCCTATTTAATGTATAAAAACAAGAAAGTTCAATTTTAAAACCACTTTTAGTGTAATTTCCATATTTAAATGGCCGAACGTATAGCGGTTGGATTAGGCTCGACCAGCGGGCCACCTGAATCTCTCGTAATGTGAGTTATGAAGGACTCAAATTCCGTCCGGACGGCACCGGAACTGATTGACGTTTTTATACTCTCACTCAGCTTGACAGCGTTCTGCCTCACCTCCTCTCCCGCTTTTGACGCCATTAGCTTCTTTACTCCTTCTGCAACTTCTTCCCTGCTCACTAATTCATCCCGCCGTTCCCAGTCCATCAAGCTGATCCCCACCTTCATCAGACCACGCGTTATCAGTGTGGCATTCCTCGGCTGGTCGGAGTGCATCGGCCAGGCCGCCACCGGCACTCCCATGGAAATACTCTCCACGCACGAATTCCACCCGCAATGGCTCAAGAACCCTCCCGTCGACGCGTGGCCGAGAATTTCCAATTGTGGGGCCCAGTCCCGGACCACAAGACCTCTTTCCCGCGTTCTTTCCTCGTACCCATCGGGCAAATCTGCTCTCACGGCGTCGACGCCATCGGAAAGGTCTCCTCTGTCTCTATCTCTGAGGACCCAAATGAATTTCTGCATGCTCTGTTCCAGACCTATGGCCAGCTCTGTTATTTGGTCCTTGGAAAGTGGGGTTGTCGTTCCAAAGGATACCAACAAAACGGAGTCTTTTTCCTGGTTATCCAGCCATTGCAGGGATTTGTGGCGATTCTTGGAGTCTCTTGTGTTGCTGAAAGAAATGGGATTGAATGGACCGACCGCCCATTGGTGTACCTTTGATACACCGCCGAGAAGATCAAGAAACGGGGCTTCTATTTCTCGATTGGAATTCACAATATCCCCTGAGATTTCCTTCCAATATCGTCTCTGTAATTTGACTGCTTTTATATACTCAGGCGGGAAACAGCCTTCATCGGACGGCAGAAAACTCAGCAGCTGATCAGCATCTTTTCCGACCACAGGTTTTCCGGCAGCTTCCCAGTAGTACGAATAAGTGCAGAAGGCTGAAACGCAACGGAAACGATAGACCTCTGCCTTTTGTATGACAGAAGGTACCACCCAACCCAAAAGCTCGTCGACGATGACAGCCACTCTCTTTTTGCCGGCGGCGATGTGACTGACTAGATCAGCGATGGGCTGCCGGAGATGCTGTTCCGTTGCCTCGAACACCGGGAACAGATGAGAGGGAAATTTGGTGGAGGCGGCGGTGTCGAGAGCCGGCGGCTGATGAGATTCGAATTGCGGCGGCAGGGGGAAGGGGTGGAAATGAAGGTTGGCTGCGTGGTGTGGGTCCCAACCGTGAACCCGTGTGGTGGCCTGGCTGATGTGGGTGGAGGATCCGACATAGTGAACGGGGATGCCGCGGGCGGAGATGAGGCGGGAGAGGTGGAGGAGCTGGTTGAGATGGCCCTGTGCTGGAAGAGGCACCATCACCACTGCCACATCTGCTTCCTTTCCTGGAGTTGGAGAAGACTGAGCCGCCATTGGTTTTAAGGCTGTGCTAGATTTCTTATAAGTTTGATGACTATATATGTTTCCTTCTATTTCCATCTATTTATAGTCACATAAGTTTAAAAAAAAAGGAATAAGAACATTTTATTCTCTAAATACTACTTTTTGGATTCTACAAAATTTAGTTAATTTGACTGGTTAATGATAGGAGTAATAAACTTTAGATAATGATTCCATATATTTTTATGAAAATACTTTTAAAAACAACATTTTTATGAAAAGAACATTTCCATATAATTTACATATTTAAAATAATTTAATATTAAAACAGCCATTGATCAAGAAATGTTAAAATGACCATGGTTTATGGAAAGGAGGAAGTACTTATTTAGTCCAATTAAAAGAATAAGTCGATTAAAACTTTTCAAAATATGAGTGGATGAATTATATTTTGAGAATAAAACCATAATAGTGATGAACTTTATCCTTATTTTAGTCATATTTTGAGAAATATTTCCAAAAATAATGACATTAGAGATTATTTGCATGATGGCTCACACATAGAGGATGCAGTCATGGTAATTCTCAGGAAAGGATTCGGAAGGAGGGAGCTGAGAGGGCATGAAATAATTGCGTTTAGAAAAAAGATTGATAATAAAGCTTGAAAAATAGGATCAATGGACTCTAAATTAAAATGTAGATCATTCTCGTTCATGAAAATGACAGGGAATATGATGATTAAACGGACAAATGTGAATTGTCAAAGTGTCATGCAAATGTCAAAAGATTTACCATTTTAAAAAACTTTTTGCTATGAGAAAAGTAAGTCGTGCTTAAATATGTCACTGCGTACCTCACATTAATCTATGTAGTTGATACTCCCTATTTCCTTTTTGGGATGTCCTAAAATGATGGTCATGTTTTTCTTTTTGAAAAGAAAGATGTGGTCTATATCATTTCACTTTATTATATTCAAATTTCAACCATAATATTTACCTTTTCAATCACTTTATTAAAACTTGTGCCTAAATGAAATGAGACTATCAAATTGGGACGGAGGGAGTATAATTATATACATTTTGGGCTAAGTGCCGGGGTATAACTTTCTAAATTTGTGGAGCAAACCCAGTAGCTGATTACAGGGCTTAGCGTGACTGATTAATGCGGACCAAAAAGTAGATTTGGGCCTAAATCAGCCGTATTCATAAAATCAAGAGGAATGGCTATTGCATAGCATGAGAGCGGTCTATATATAGAGAACTTATCTTGTCCGAACGTTCGGACAGGAATTTTGATGAAATTCTTATTGTATATTCTTCATCAAGTCTAGTTTATCCATACCAAATTTCAGTTCCAAATTCAATCCGGAAAGCGTTCAAATGATTTTTTGAAGTTGACTGTGCCAAATTATACATAGAAAAACGCAGTCAACTTCAAAAAATCATTTGAAGGCCTTCCCAATTGAATTTTGAGCTGAAATTTGGTATGAATAAACTTGACTTTATGAAGAACATACCATAAAAATTTAATCCAAAAATTCCATTGGGAACCGCCTGAACCAAGGTGCTCGGACGGAGGCTCACGTTCGGACATTGGACCTGATCTTCTCTCTCTCTCTCTCTCTCTCTCTCTCTCTCTCTCTCTCTCTCTCTCTCTCTCTCTCTCTCTCTCTCTCTCTCTCTCTCTCTCTCTCTCTCTCTCTCTCTCTCCCCGTGTGTGTGTGTGATGGAGTATATGGCCCGGGAACCCCCGGCCCACAGACTCCTACTACTCCAATAAAGGCTCAACAGGCCTAGAAGGCCCGACAGGCTCAGATCACAGCGCCCAGAGTACCAAGCAGCCCACAATGCGCACCAGGGGTGCCTTCGGCCCCTTGCCCGAAGGCTCTGACTCTCACGGGAGGGACAAGACAGCAAAACAAAATTACTGGGAAAAACGGCGAAAATCAGTAGCCCTCGGCACCTGGAGCCCTCGGCACCAAGGGGGTCCCCGGTATTCAGAACCCTCGGCAGGTCCTCTACAGCTGGGGGCACCTTTCCCGACATGATATCCGCGGCACATGCGTACAGATTGTCGTACCCTGCGCAACGTCCCATCCAACAGCCGCATTAAATGCGGCCACATGCGGTTGCCAGCGCCAACCAGTTGAGGTGACCCCTCGGCCAATGAACGCTTGACACGTGTCCCTGTCCAGCATTTATTGCTACTATAAATAACACCCCATCTCCCCCTTTGTAACCACGCTGAAAACGTTGAACACTTTCTAATATACTTTCTCTCTCTATACTTACTTGCTCTGACTTCTCTCTTGTCACTCCCCGTAATAACCCCTCGGATAAGCTACCCCCGGGTACACTATCCATCATTTGGTGCTCTCGTTGAGAGCTCGAACAATCAAGTAAGAAACCCTCCCCCTCGACCAAACACCAAAACACCCATCTAAAATGGTGAGAACAACTCGTGCCAACTCCAAAAATGTAGAGGACAGGAACTTGGCCCTCGGCGAGGTCGACGTCCCCGAAGCCTCCAACAAGGCTCCCGGGGGCGGCGTCATCGCCGGGTTGGACCAGACGGCTGTCGACCTACGCCAGCAGATTCAACAGAACGCCCTCGATGCCCGCCTCGGCATCGAGGCCAAGAAAAAGGACCGGAGCGAAAATCAAATTAGCCCTCCGGTCATTACCATCGACGTTCAATCGGCGCTCTCCGCCTTCATCCAGACGCTCACTCAGAACCCGAGTGCCTTCGGCACTTTGGCTCCCCTCCACCCTCAGGTGGGGGAGAATATTATGCATCCCCCTCACCCGCGGCCCCTCGGTAACCCCTTCCTCCGGGTGGGAAACTCCGAGGGGGTCGTGGCCCAAGATACGGCCTCCCAGGAAGTCCAGTCTCGGGACCGCCACCACGTGAACAAGGAGCAGCCCCGGACCTCCGCCCTCGAGAGGCTCAGAGGGGCGCAAGACCGCCTTGGGGGGAAGGCGTCCCAAAGGCCTCAGGAAAGTGGCGGGTCAGTCTCCAGGGCCAATGAAAGACGTCCCCCACAGGACAAAGGCAAGGCACCTCTCCATGCCGACGACGCACGTCATCGAATCAATCAAGCCCACTCGGCCCGGGTCCATTCGCAGGGGGCAGAGGCCCTCCCGAAGGACCCCCGGGACGAAATCATCGCGGCCCTCCAGCGCCGGCTTGACGAGATAGAGGCCACCAAAGCCCACGCCACCACTTCTGCCCCTCATACAGACCTCAAGTATGAGGCGATGATGGCCAAGATGGAAGAAATGCAGAGGAAGATAGCTGAGGGCTCCGGGGAACCCACCATACAGCTCCGGACCCGGACGCCATTTAACCCAAGGGTATTGGCGGCCCGGATCCCGGAGAAATACCGAGGGCAGCTCATCAAGCCCTATGACGGAAAGACTGACCCCTAGGAGCACTACAGCAGGTATCAAAACAACATGATGATGGTGGGGGCATCAGATGAATATTTGTGCCGCTGGTTCCTCTCCACCCTAGAGGGGCCAGCTTACGAATGGTTCAACCGATTGCCCGAGGTCTGTATTGACTCATGGCAAGAACTCTCCCAGCGATTCTTGACATAATTTGCGGGGAGGCGCCGCACAAGAAAGCACTTCTCCCACCTACTAACAGTGAGGCAGAAGAAGGAGGAGACCCTTCGGGACTTCCTGGAGCGCTGGAGGACGGAGGCTGATAAGGTTTGTAAGGAATAATTGTAATTAGATTTTGATGATGCTAGATTAATTAGGACTTTAGAGTACCCCTTTAGAAATTATGTATTAGAATTTTCCTTTGTAAAATTCTTAGACGTATTCGACTTGACAGAAGACCTTCAAGAGCAGAAGGACTTCAAGAGCAGAAGTGCCTCTTAAGGCATTATTGAAACAGAGGACCTTTGGCTCTCTGCTCCAGAACAGAAGTCCTCAGGATCTCTGTTAGTCTTAACTCTGACAGAAACCCTTCTGGGTCTCTGTTGCATACTCCCAACAGAAGTGCTCCAGACCTCCTCTGTTCTACTCTCAGACAAAGACACCAGAAGGACTGACACTTAGAAGATTTTCAAAGAACCGGGAAGTCAACTAAAAGATTCCTTCAACGGCTAGGAGTATGAAACGGAAAAGCTACAGTGCATGCATTAAATGCTCATTTAATGCACCCCATGCTACGTAGAGTAATTGCAGATGATTGGCCGCAATGTCAGGAATACTTTATCCCAAAATAGTAACCCGCCAACTTTATCGGGCTCTACCAGTCAAGTCAACTGATCACGCATTAAATGCAGTTGTCCTCCTACTCCTCCAACGGGAAGACAACCTCAGTATAAAAGGTACACTACGAAGAACAACCAAAAAGACTTGGAGATAACCTTGTTATAACTTTGCTACAACTTTGCTAACCAAGCAAGATATTCAAACTCTGAAAAGCAAAAAGCCTCCTTGAGATTCAAACTTATCATCCTCTACAAGAGAAGGCAGAAGTTAGAAAAATACTCTTTCCAATTCAAGCAAAGTTCCAAGTGTTCTTCAACTCTTCAAGCTCATCACATACAAATCTTTTGTAACGAAGCTAGTTGGAGGAACCCCAGTTTCAACAGAAACTCTTCTTGCTACAAGAAGGACGTCCAAATAACTAGAGTAGTGAAGTGGTGATACTTCAAGGAAACTCAGTGAAAGGACCAATGTTAAAGGAAGCCAGGCAGTGCATCCCAGGACACATCTAGGCTTGAAGAAGACGTGGAGTGCTTCTTAAGTACTAGGACTAAGGCTTTGTAAACGGCAGTTTTTACAGCTTAGTGGAACAGTGGATTAGAGGAACGAGTTGTTCCTTGAACCACTATAAAAATCCCTGGTGTCGTTTACTTACTGCTTTTAATACTTGCACTTAGTTAGAACTGTATAACTCCTTGGACTTGGTATCTGTGTTCAGCAGAACTTGTTCTACGAGTTAACAGAAGGCCTTCTGCCTATTGTTTCTCTGAGGCTAACAGAACTCCCTACCAGAACCCCATCCGCTGCCAGTCTGTTCTTACAACAGAACAGGCTATTCTGTA